GTAGACAACTTCCAAAACGGAGCCCCTCCAAAAACAGACAGCTATGCATAGAACAATGGATGTGCAAGGATGAGCTCACTTCAAACCCAATGTTGGCGTCAACAGCTGAGGCGGCCTGACACTTTCAGGTGGACTCCTGATCAGGTCGGCGTTGCCTCAAAGAAATCCGATCGCCAAAATAGAACAATGGCCACTCCGCAAAGGAAAACCAAAAGGCAACCTTTTGGTTTCCCTTGAACAAGGCCTCAAAAAGGGAAGGTACCCTCAACATGTTTCTTCGCATCCCAATCGATCTGCCTTGCAGGGCGCGCCGCCCTATGCTGGGAGGCGGACCGTGGGGCGAGGACTACTTGCTTCCCAAGGGGCTGGATCACTCTCAGGGCCTAAGTTGGTCTTGCTCCGCTGATGTTGATCGTGTGTCCTTTACAAACTGGGGTTAGTACAAGATATAGCTTGGCTATCAATACAAATAGTCCTTCTTTACCAGACCAAAGGAAGGTCAGCAATCTGGGGGACAATGTTCAGGAGCTACTTTTAAACCAACATGCATCCGAGTCCTTAAGACATTCACTACAATGGAATACAACAATGTTTAGCCTTTTTGTACCATGCACAAACAAGTCTATCAAGTAAAGTGTTTGCTGGATTAATCAACCTGGTGGATTGATCGGGCTGAATTCGTCAGCTAGTGATCCGGATCCCCGCTTAAACGGGAGGCCAATGCAATGAACATCCGCGAGGGTGTTGTTCTTCCTGCGCTCCCATTCGAGAGTAGCTGCGGGTCTGCGGTCCTTCTCTGTGCATAGCTGCCCTTTGGTTCTCCACGTGTTTTGTCTCATCACCCGAGAACGATGCGCTAAGGACTATATTCGTTTCATACGCTTTTGGTAGGTGTTCGATACTTAGGCGTTCCGTAGAGTTTCCCGGACGCACTGCTCTCTTTTTATGTAACCTTCTCAGACAAGATGGTGGCTAGTTGACTCAGGGACCTAGAGACGACCCGCCAACGACCGGCCCCCCCGAAGGGTTTTTGGGATACTAAGCCCTTGCCGGGTACGGCCTTGACAGCTGGGGGGCTCTCTGGGGAGACCTACTGTGGATGGGCGAAATCCTGCACCACCTAAAGAAATCCTGGAATGATGATTCACCTGTAAATACCAAAAAACAATGGTTTCCCACGGTCTCTTAGGTGGTGCAGGATTTGGTCCATCCACAGTATGGTTGTTGAAACCCCCCAAACGCAAAGAGGGGATAGTGGAGTTCCTGCACAAAGTCGCCATAGGCACGGAGACGGAGGGCGGGGGGCTGGATTCCTTGTACCCTTGCAAAGAAGAAAGATATGAATTCGCTATAAGGCTAGGCAAACAATATCTGTTCATCTTGTTGGGAGTACCAAACCAAAAGGCGGGAACCAAGCTTGAACTCTATTTTGATGATTGCTTGGCTTGATTAGATGTACCTGGTAGACAAAGGGGGGAGCTCCTCTCTTTGAAACACCTCCCACGCCACTTTTGCCGCTCAGGGAGCCGAGAGGGCACGGCTATCCGCCGCCAGGCGGGGAACGTGAGCGCGCGGGTCGTTTGATGCCTGGCGCTGGAGAGAAGAACCCAGAATCTATTCAGAGTTGCCGAGTATTGCGATGCAAGTGTGACATCAGCTATTCTGAGCCGATTTCTAAATGCTACTGAGTTGGACATATAGAATGGTTTCAGATTCTAGGGCGTTTTGCCGCAAACCTTCCACTTGGAGGCTGACTTTGGCAGAATTATGGGGCCGGTCTAGACAGCCTTAAAAATAAAGAAAAGCATCCTTAGTTGTTCCCCCCTATGTAGCACGCAGTTTCATGGCCATTCACAGGGTCCTCCCGGTTTTCCAACTTAAAAGGTGCAATGTTGAGATGTGAAATGTATGACCCCTGCAGAGGATGCCTTCAGTGGCATGCGACTGCAGATTCATAGCTTCATTTTTAGAAGGCCAAGTTACTTACCTTCAATTGTGGTGTCCTGTAAGCATCCTGTTGAGCAATTGTCGAACACAATCTAGCAATTCACCATGTTGGTCTATAGCAACAGCCAGTGATTCCATATGCTTCCCGAAAATAGTATCCTCCCACACACCATCATGAAATCTGAGAAGATGGAGGGGGCCTGTATCCCTATTCATGGTTCCAGCCCGTTTCTTGGCAGGTCCCGTCTCCTGAGGGATTCATGACATGTTCTGCTACAAGTCGAACCTTTAAGCAAGGGATCAAGGAACCGTACTCATCTTGGTAGAACCGAACATCAACAGGACATCCGTTCGTCTGCTTGCGCTAGTCCAACTCAGCCGTTGGCAGGTCCTCACGGACCTCCGGGGGGGCAGGGGCCTCAGGCCCCAGATCAGGATGTTAAGGGCTGGGGTGGGGCCCTACAAAGGAAAACACGGGTTTCGTAAAAAGGACAGCCCTATGAAGTGAAAAAGTGCCCAGGTCTTTGGATTGCGTGTTTGGTGGACAATTGAGGAAGCCTTTGCGGCCATCGACAAAGACTTTTGCCGGGTAGTCGGTATGCTACCTTTTTTTGTTACCTGACTAGCCTTGTTTTGTTGGTTTCCCTTTGATTTTCCCTGGCCAACATGTGAACTTGTGCACGGGGTCTCAGCCTGGCCAAATTTTGGGGCATTTTGGGGCTACCCGTTTTGGGGTGCTGTCAAAGGGTAACCAAGAGAGATCCCCTCTTTGGGTGTTTGAGACAGACCCTTTTGTTTGTTTGTATGTATGCTTGCTTGCTTGCTTGTTTGTTTGTTTGTTTGTTGTTTGTATGGCAAGCTGACTTGGAAATGCATCAAGCTCGGCCGTGAAAAGACGTGTCTCCTCAGGGTTTCTGTTTTTTTATGTTTCGGAATGCCAGATGTTTTATTTCAGGACCGTCGTCAACGCACTGCTGAGGTTGTACCCGTAGTGCTTTCAATACAGCAGCTCCATACACATATTTATGTACGTGTATGTAGTTCAATATAACATATACATTATATATATATATATACATATCGTGATATCCATATATGCACATATATTATAGTTGGCATGCAACAACATAGGAGAGGGTGACCTGGGCAATAGCCCCGATGCCTGGATAGGAAGCGTGAAGCCTTTGAAGCGCGCTGCACGCTGGCGTCAGGTATGAGCATCCTCCGGCTCATAGACCGCCTCCTGGGTGCGGAAGCCAAGGGCCGACCGGATGCGACGTCTCTGGGGTTTGCTCCTAAAAGATGTGTTATGTTTCGAGTCGACCGAAAACCCGGGCTTGCAATATAATTATGTTGTATTTGGGTCGCCCGTGTATGGAGCAGAGTCAGAACATATGTGTCTTGTGTACCCTAGGCCAAGTCTTGTGGATCCGCCCCTGGGATATCCAAAGAGTAGTACTCGTAAGAGAGGACCAACAGAAGGAACGTTTGGAGTCAACAAAGACCCGTTCTTGACAGGGCAGAGGGTGTAGTAGTCATGTCAATGTTTCTCTATATTTGCTTTAGGTGTGCTTGTTTTGAACCTCTGCTGTTGAGTTTGAAGGGGACTATCATGACGTGTCCAGCCCCAACGATACCTGTTGAAAGCTTTCGCTTTGAGGACACACGCTGACACCAAGACAAACGACGCTGATGATCGTTCGTGGAGCTTTTACATCAGTTGCATTATTTAGTGTTGGTTGATGGTTCAGAAGCCAAGTCGAACTGGTTTCCGATTCGAGCCAGGCCCTACGAGCATCATTCCCATCCGCCAGACTACCCACCGGGGGGCCCTCCTCCTTACGGTCACCCGCCCTATCACCCACCGCCTGGCGGAAGCCATGGGCCGGGCTACGGGCCTCCGGGGTATCCGCCGTACTACCCGCCGCATGGTCCACCCCCGCCCGGGGAGCGGGGCCCGGGAGGCCCCGGCCCCCCGGGGCCGGGCTACGGGCCGCCCCCGGGCTACGGGCCGCCGCCCCCGGGCTATGGGCCGCCGCCCTACGAGGGGGCGCCCCCCCACCACCCAGGAGAGGGCGAGCGCTTGGCTTGGCTGGGTGAGTTGTGGTAGAATTGCACACCTCAGCCTGGTGAAGACTGATGGATTCTTCAAGATTGCAAGTGAAGTAGCTATGGTCTTGAGGGTTCCCCCTGTTCCAACTTGCATTTTTCCGGAATCAACCGTACCTCTCTCGGAGATGTCCCATTTGCAGCATTTGTTGCACACAGTCACACGGGTAAATTTGGCATGGCATGGCCCAAACCCAGGTTGAAGGATGCGATTCCAACTAGAAGCGGAAGCGGAAGCTGCCCGTTTGATTCTCTACAATTGCTTCTAGGTAACCATTTCACTAGATTCATCCGGAGGACCCTACTAGTGAGAGGAAGCAGTTCCTTACCAAAAAGGGGAACCACTCCTGACGGGCACGGTCCTCAGGATTAATCCGACTTCAACATTATCAGCCTTTGGATTACAAATCATGCCGACTGCAATTCTATCAGCCCACGAGACCAAACTGTTTTTTCTACCTCAACCCGGATTTGTTTTGCGGAGTCATGGCAAACAACATTAGTTTGACATCCAGGTGCCCTGGTGGTGCGTTTCGCCTGCTGGCTTTTGGCTCGGGCGATCTTGTACATCCACATCAGAGCATACCCAGTCCTTCCTTGCCTTTATCTTTGATGCATTTGGGACAAGAAACCTTCAGACAACTCCACTAACATGTTGTTGTTGTGTGTGTGAGTTTTGGATGTGCGGCAATCCTAGAAGAATCCGTGTCATTGTTCCCCTCAGTCACACGGGGCGAGTCAAAAGAGGATGCAGTTGCTTGAAGACGCGTCGCATCCCCAGTTTCTAAGCTTCGGTCATGCTGTTGCGAAGCTTGTTCTTCTGGTCGACAAACGGTTCGTTGTTTTTTGTTGCTGTGTTTATGAAGCCCCAGCTACCCTGCGGTGCCCTCATTTTTCTTTCTGTGTTTGGCGGGTTCCCTTTAAAGGCAACCCACAGCGGACGGGTTCCCTTTCCCCATGGTGCTGCGCCGGGCTGAGTTCAATCTTCGGGTCCTTGAGACAAAGCTTCGTGGAATGCCATGGCCGAGCCAAGCAAGACGCCCATCGCCTCTTGGCATCGCATTGATGCCAAGAGGCTTTTTATTTTGACTCTGTTGTCTGTTCTTGACTTGTTTAGTCTGCATGAACAACATCCACTTCAGTTGGGATAGATGACACCCTATCTAAACTGGGTAAAACCACAAAAAAAAAACACCCCACTGGCGCCAAGCTGTTGTCGTGCATGCCACACCTCAGCCTCCGGCCTACTGTGGATGGACGAAATCCTGGGCAACCTAAGACTCCCTGGAATGATGATTCACCTGTAAACGCCCACCACGGTTTGTAAGGGTTTCCAGGTGGTGCGAAATGGATTTCGTCCATATGGCCAGGTGGCGGTCTGGGTGCCCTCCACGCCCTCCGAGCAGCAGCTGCAGCGATGCAACTTGCGGCACCCAGAGGAGGCGCCAGGCGCGGACCTCGGGGACCTCGGGTGACCTCGGGTGACCTCGGGGACCCAGTGGATGCGCCCGAGCGACTCGGCCAGGCTCCCGAAAAGGGGTTTCAACCCCTGGCTTTTGTACCAAGGTTCTGGAAAGGTTCTCAGAAATGACCCCCCCAGATTAAAAACAAAGGGCAACATGGAGCAGTTCTGAAACAAAACCCGTCTGAGAACTTGTAAGGTCGCTTGCGAACCTGAATTCCCTGAGCAATGTACGGAATTACTGTTTGATGAAGGCATGACAATCAGGTATACACTATGGCAAGTATGACGAAGGAAAGAGAAGAGGCGAGCATTAGGGAACATTGTGATCAGAAAGTGAAATCATGACATGATTCCTTTCGCTGACCTGTCGCCACAACCTCCAGGTGTTTTGGAATAGGAGACCGGCCGAAATTAGGCCATTGAGCCTGCCACTTAAGTGTTGGGCTGCGTTTTCAACAATGGCCAGCCATGCCCTGGTAGTCTGAACGGGGACTCAAGCACATGCAGGTCAATGGAAGTCCACACCGGGAAGCTGCAACTCAGAGTGGTACCCTTGAGAGCCGAGAGGTAGTGCCCCTAAATTTGCGCTGTGGATCGACGAATCCTGCATTTGGGATGGATGCCCCTTTTTGCAAGCTGGCATAGACGGCCTAGGGATACATATACATTATATATATATATATATTAATATGCTTGTGACTTGTGACGCTTAAAACATTCCCTCCCTCCCACCCAGGTCGTTGGAACCTGGCTGTCCAAGAGGGGTTTTCTAGTGGGTGCCACACCAACGCGAGAGGATCTTTGATTGTGTTCGTGTCTCCATAAGCGACTGGACGTTTGCTGGCAGTGGCTGTTTCAGATTCATTTCTGTTGTGCAAAGATTTATCTGCAAATACCAACCGGAATGGCTATTTCGCAGTGGAACCCCTTCTTCCCAGTTTGTGACGCAGAGTGTCACAAGCTACCGATCAGGCAAACTCCCCATGGGCCGCACTGCGACCAAGACACCAAGTGGTACCCTTTGTTCTTTTGAGGGGGGGGGTTCGGTTCCCTTAAAACGCAACTGCCGTGTGTGTGTACTTGTGCGAGGCATAGAATATAAGTTGCATTGCTGATGGTAACTATGTACTTTCGATGTTTCATAGTCATGAAGCTAAGTAAAGGTTAGATTGGGATCAGGCTGGCAGCCCCTCACGGACGGCCAACACATGGGCCTGGTGACGCTGGCCAAACCTGCGGATCGAGCTTGCCCCTGCGACGTGCTCATCCAGCCGCCCAGCCCGCATTCGATTAGCCCATGGAGAGCTGACCTGGGGGCAAGAGAACTATGATGAAGGTCCTTTGATTGGGGATCCCGTATTTCAGGTTTTGGAATTTACAAAGATGCACCGTTTATACCAGAGGAAAAAATGCCTTGTTTGCTTTAGCTGAATAAAGGGTGTCCGTGAAACTTGCCAGCCTTTGAACCATGACCTGTCGAGGGTTGGCTGGGTTTGATTGGCATTGTAGACAATGTGTGAGGCCAGGGCTAGCAGTCAACCTTGTCCAGGTTAGAACGTCGGTTTGAAGCTATCCTTCTGTTTCCCACCAGCCAATCAGATACCGATTGTTTGAAAGGACCGGAAAAGAAACCCCTTTTCAAGGCCACCAGCATTAGGATGTGTTTTTGTTGGCACCCGTCTCCAGAGTTTGATGTCAATCGAATCCGATCGTCAAGTAAGTGGGAGCACACTACTGTCAATGCTGGATAGAAAGGCAAGATCAACTATGCCCCAGACTTCCAGTGGGTCCTGTTTTGCGAGGGGGTAACAACAACTACCCGCTACAGGTCACGGATGTTGTCTATCTATATTGATATATATTTCAATGGAAACCGCAATTCTTCAAAATAACGATCAAGTACCAACAACTAGGGCGCCCTTCGTTTCATGGAAATCCAGATTGGGTCTGGTGTACCCGCTCGCAAACTCCACTAGCCCAGCTGTAGGAGCAACCCATCGCAGGCACTTCGCAACGCCCAGTCAAGGGTTCAGAGTCCTACCCTTAAGTTTTGTTGCACAAGGGCTTGCTCTGAGCGCACCTTTGCTCTTCCCCTAAAATCCTTCCCGGAAATTAGGTTCCATGGCATCGTTGCTTGGCAGGGTACCCCTACCCACACGGTGCTTCGGGACTCGCCGGGTTTCTAGATCTCCCCTGTTCGTGCTTCTAAGCATCTCCTGTTTTAGCCCTTTTCTAGGTGACTTTACCCTTGGCGGGGTGAGATGGGGAACCTCAGTGTGGCCTGCCTCTCGTTGAGCCATGTTTCAGCTCCTGTTGCTTACACCTCCCTTCGGTTTCCAAGACAACTGGAGACGCGAGACGCGAGGTGCCGCAGCCAGGTGGACCTTCTCCTGCGCTCCCTTGACTCGCTGCTCAGATGTGACGTCACAGGGATTTGGACCCAACAAATGAAGGGATTCTACTTGAAAAACGGCACCCTTGGACGTCAACAGTTTGGAAAACTTTCTACTTCATGCAAGCACGTGTCAAAATAAAGGGAAACCACAGCATGGCGGGTTTTGCTGTTGGTTTAAGCCAATGTGAGATGGATACCCTTAAACAAATGTGGCAACCAGAAGTTACGCCCTGTCTTGTGTTTTGAATGGTACCTTTAGGGTGTTGAGTTGTGTATCCCAGTTGGAGGAAATAGCACATTGTGACGTGGCGATTTTGGCGACCGGCAATCAGGTTGGTGCGTTGGTTTTTCAGCTTATATGTCCCTTTTGAGGGCAACTTCAACAAAAAAGCCCGTCCTTTTTGTGGAGGGGCCTTGGAGACAAAGCCAGGCATACATAAACTCGACCATCCCAGTAGAAACAGATGTGGATCACGCGCTGAGTTCGACTCTCAGGTTGAAGTGGCAAAAAGCCCCCAAAGGTGCAGGCATAGAGCAGACCCCAAGGTTGGAAAGCTTGTCATTCCCTGCGCACGAAAACGACGGAGCAGATCTGGGACGCTTGGATAGCCCGCATGAATCAAGGCTTCCTGTTTGGGCTATGGGGAACCCGAGGGAAACCACCAGTGGAGTTGACAAACGCTTTTGTTAAGCCGGATACGTTTCACCCCCAGATCCAGGTTTTCTGATTCGCAACAGGAAGGAATTTTGGGTTCAGATTTCGCCATGTTTGCCGGGGCCACGTCGAGCACACTTGGCCACTTTGCTCCATAGCCTCAAGGCTTGGAGTCCCACTTTCGCATTGGATGGTGCCAAGTTGCGCAATGGACTGGAAGCTTTAAGGCACCCGAGGAAAACCCGCTGCCCTGTTGAAAGCTCATGTGATGAGCTTTCGCGGGGCACGGCTTTTCCGTGCAACACCTTTCATTGGACAATGCCTTCCAATGGATGACAACCATGTATGCAACCAAAAGATCAGCTCACTGTAGTTCAACCACCTCAGTCTATGATTTTTGTATTGATCCCAAGGAGAATACCCCAGTACAATTGCAAGAATTGGCCCACAGTGACACAGTCCAGAATAGTCCAAATGTGTACAGTCCAGGACACTCCAAATCCCAAAGGAATCCTACAAAAGAGGCGTGTGTTTAAACCACCAGTTGCAGCCAGGTACTTTGACCACATATCATAGCCAACCACCAGAGTTCCTGGAAACCCAACCCGGGGAACGCCGAGGAAGGCCGGCGAGCGCTTGCAGCGGTGGCCGGTCCATGACCGCGCGCGCCTGAGATTGGCCGTCGAATGGGAGATGTTGAAAAGTCTTCGTCCCTGAGCTCCTAGACTTTCGTCACCGTCACCTTTGGGGTTGGACCGTTTTAGTTTTAGAGGCAAGCAGTTTTGTTTTTTTGGCACAGCCCAGGATGTGAGTCGCCTAGCAGCACGTTTGTGTATTTCTTTTGACGTGAGTCACAAATCAAGGTTAACTTAGCATGGAACAGCATCAAACCAGTACTTTTGGGGCTGGGGGGCAGAAGCTGAACAAATATGTTGGTTCCGAGAGCAAAGGCTGGTGGTCAGTTTACCGCCCCCTGCCCACGCACTTGGTTGCCTTGGCAGTTTCATGACTTCAAAATCCAGATTTCAGATTGTTTGCAACCTTACCCTCGATTGTCAGATTGTGCATGATCGAACCTAAGCCATGTGAGCATTCCCTTCAGAATCCGATGCCGGACAGCTGAATATTAAGGGGCACTGTTGAATGTCCTGAACTTGAAAACAAAGGCTGACGTTTCGTTTGGACGGCTGCGTTTCCCGACAAAGCTCACGGACAAAGCTAGCCGAGTGGTCAGGTCGGAAGGACCTCTTCTACCGCTCTCTTCAGCCCGGGATCCTCATGGGCCCTTTGCGGTCAGCGGACAAGCTCTTCTGGCCGCTCAGATGTCGATTTGGCGGGCTCCCCTACTTTTGATTGGCTTTAAAGGAACTATTTGGGGGCTCCCCTAATTTGTGAGAGATGTCCCTTTGGCCTCTTTTTCGTGGGAAGTCCAGGGGAATCCATTCATGTTCTCATGTTGTCGGTGGTTCCCAACCATACCTTAGATGGAGTCTAGGGGGTTACGACAGACCCACATTAAAGCTGCATTTCTTTGTTAAGGAATCATGGAACATCGTGGCAAGGTTTCTTGGGTTCCGGAATCCCACTTCCACAGCATGATTGGGATGCGGCAGCTCTCCCTTGGAGCAGTTGCAGTGCAGTTGGTTCGATGTTGTCAAGCCGTGATTTGAGCCTCTGGTTTTACCAGGCTTGAACATATATATTGGAGTTCGACTGCTAGAATTGTTGTGTTCCCATGGTAGTGACCTAAATCAATGTTGCGGTGGCCAAGTCATTCCGGATGTTGTAGACAACAACTCGGAGGTGGGAACTCAGGATAAACCGTTTAACCCCTGGTCGATCAACAAGCTCGTGCCCCGGTCCGCCAAGTTGATTTGTTTGCCACACTCGGAGAACCGAGGCCTGTTCCCCGGGTGCCAGACGCGTCCTGCGCGGAAACGGTCAAGGGACAAAACCGAAGACCTTTGAAGACGCATTCGAGGAAGCTTGCTTGCTCTGCACATTGCTAGACTTAGATCGCCGTAGTGGCCTTGGGCTTTCTTCAGGGTTTCCTTCATCATGCCTTGTCGCCAGCAAAATGTGAACAGCCATATCATAGTACTATGCGGGTGTTTTCAATTTGCGAATCCCCTTGTGGTTGTTGTTTACGAGGAACTCAGAAGGGAGCTAGCCATTTAGGGGCCGGGCCGCTATTTTGCAAAACACTCGGATAATAATTTAGCTTTCAGACACGTTCTCAGACTGCGTCTGGAAAACTCCTGAGCAACGACATGTTGCGTTTTACCACATGCAAGAAGCCGCCGTTTGATTCGTGTCCCATAGGTTTTGGGTAGACTTTTATTACCAGGATTTGATGGTGACTGATATGGGTGCGTCCTAAATAAGGGACTGTTTCTTTGTCCTCTGTCTTCTTTTTCCTGTATTTTGAGACAAGTCAGAACTCCAGTGGTGCTTTTTCTTTTTTTTGGGGGGGCTGACATTTCCCATGGACACCAGAGACTTGGTTTTGATTAGACTGCTTTGGTCTCTGCAGTGCACATATCGAGGCTGCAGACGGCAGGCCAACTTCCTCTGCTGGCGGGGCTCCTCAGAATCGCCGGAGGTGGGCAAATCCTGCATGCATACAAAGGTGGTAGCCTTTGGGTGAGTAATCATTCAGCTCCCCATCTCCAAGATTGTTCTTTTCAAAAATGACCGGGTGGCATTGGCAATTGCAATATGAACGGACCCCGGCTGAAACCATCTATTCGACCAACCTGACCTTCCCGGAATGAAGCATAGACCGGACATCTCGACGTTCACCCAAACCAATCAGAGCTGAGGACCAGCTGAGGCTCGCCTTCGGGGAGGATGTTGGCTTCAGCTTCGCCTGGCACGCCCTTCGGCGGTCGATAGGTGCGATCTCTTGGGGCGATAGGGAATGAGTTGGAAGGAACCCGTTGTGTTGAGGTCATTCCAGTTCTCACTCCCTCTGCACCAGGAAGGAATTTCTTGGGTTTGGGCAGGCTCTTCCTTCATCCCGTTTTGACACGTTCTTTCAGTGGCAGTTTCGATGGACGCCGCCAGTAAATTGAAACCTTGCAGAGGGGAAATCCAGTGACCCCTGTCGGGGTGAAAGGATCCTATCATTTGAACGTTCGGAGCTGTGGGAGCTTGGATATGTTAGATTCTCCAACCGTGGATTCCACGACTTCTTAGTATCATTTGAAGATGAGTTGTTGGAGCTTGGCTTGTTCTGAAAGAGATGGGGAATTGGGACTTCGTGATTCGCCCCACAAGGCCTTCGACAGGGGCCAATAACTCGTCCCAAACGAGTCCTTCGACCCTTTGGCCTTCGTATGTGGGGTTTACTGTAGTACCCCGAAAGTGACCCCGAAAGGACTTTTTTTTGTCCATTTCCAGGTCAACGGGAAGATTTGTTCAGTGAGAAAAGGCTGGAACATGTGGATTGACCTACCTTGGTCTCAAACTCCGGGGGCCCAAGATACCCAAACTGGATGGCATCCACCTTCGGGGACTTCGGTAACTGGATGGCATCCACCTGCGGTGTTTGTTTCAAGCAACCCCCAAGCAGTTAATTCCCCCCAACCACGAAGACACACCACCAATGGCTGACCTAAGGTGAGTACTAAGCTTTCCCAGGGGCGACTTGCTGCGGGCCGAGTTGCATGTTGATTCCAGTGTTCATGGGGGGGCGAAGTTCATCAGTATCACTCAGGTGACCTACTTGGTTTGCTTGTCTTCCATGGCATTGACCTCCGGGATCTTCACTGCGGTCACCTGGAGCGATGCCGACGCCTACCGGGCGCTGATGCCTGTGGTGTCCTTTCTGATCGTGTCGTGGAACCTTGGCAACAGAGGATGGTTGTTGAAAGCAGACACGTGATTCTGTTCTTTTTCTGTGTTTTTCTTGTTTTCTTATTTGTTTGATACACATACAATATGGTTGTTAAGACATAATGGTGTATTTAAAAGAGGAGCAGAGGTGGAAAGAATGGTTGTGGAGGCTCAAACTAGGGGAGCCACAAGCGAACATGTCGCTCGGTTGTTCAGTGTTCGGTGGGGTTTCTGCCGTTCAGGCCACTGGGCAACTGGGGGCTCAGATATTCAGGGTGTCCTGCAGCCTGTGCACCGTCTTGAATAATTGGCAGGATGCCGATTTTGCAAAACTCCAAAGAGCAAGCGAGAAAAACGGTTTCCCTTCTGACACACTTGTTCCAGCATAGTTTTTGCAATCAAGCGCGTCTCTTTGCCGGTGGTTTGCGTGAACCGCTCCCCCCGAAAGAATACCGCGCTTTCAAACAAATAGCTGTGGCTCAAAGGCCGGTACCCAAAATGGAACCCTGGTAAGTGGAATGGACCAAAACCTGCTTAGCCTCGGCAGTTTAATTTTGAGCCGCATCCACATTGTTAAACAGCGGGCCATTCGGGACGAGGACCATTGCGGTGACTGAGACCCAATCAGCTGTGGGAGCCCCAAGCCGGGAGAACTGCTGAATTGCAGAAGGCAGTGCTCCGATCCGAATTGACCAAGCCTCGTTTGAGTAGCTTGGGCTTCTCGTTCTTTCTAGGTTCAACTCTACACCCAGAGGGGGTCTTTGATTTTCTGTTCTAATCCACTAGAATTTTGGGAATGAAGGAACACCCTCTGATTAGTACGTATGGTCCTCCAGATTATTCAGAAGTCAACATTGCCCTGGTTTTGACCCCGGCTCAACTGGCTCTTACCGCTCAACTGGCACGTGCCCTAATCAATTGGGTTCCACCCCCGACTTGCAATGTATGGTGGGGGTACCCCAAACAAAACGGACGATTTCTTCCAACCGCGCAGTTTCCCGGACTGTGGGCAGATTGTGCACTCGCCTTCCAAGTTTGAGGCCTTGGAAAGTTAGAAGGCCATTCTAGGTGGTAAGATGTGTTGTAAACACAAGTGTACGTGTTTGTTTGGCCAATCCAGGGGTGATCTGAGCCTTGGACGAATCCAGCTGGTTTGACTTCCTCTTGTTTCTGGTTACCAGAATCCAAATGGCTGCCCTCTAGGGTCTTCGGAGCAACCCTCAAACCCACCAAGCACACCAAATAGGGGTGGAGCCTGGCGGGTTGTTTGGGGTCTCTTCCGTGGTGTCCACCTACGCATCCGTTGGAATGCTGCAAGCAGTAATCCTATAGGTCATATTAGCTTGCCTCTTTTTTGCCGAGCTCACAGATTCAGGGGAGGAACATGCTGTCACATAGGTCCTTTAGTTGGGATCCAATTCTTGGTTCTGGGTTGGAATTGTAAAATGTGCAGATTGCTGTACGTATTGCATAGTTAATGAATATTCTCAACAGAGAAGATGTCCCCAGTTCAATCGGGTGACTAAGGGTAGACTAAGCTTCACATGAGCTTGATATGTGTTGAAGCAGAGGAACGGCCTGTTGTTTGTCCTGGCACAGCTGCAAGTGTGTTCATATCACTTGCGACTTGAAGTTTGCACCTGGGAGATGCATTTTGGTGAACCGCAGTTTTCCCATTGCCACTACGGGTAAGGCTCCGTGGCGCCTCCCGACCACACCCTTGGACGATCAGACGTTTTTAGAGTTTTGAGGTTCATGACCTTTCGCACTAAAGTGGAAACTGTTAAGAGGGGATCGACGAGCCACAGTTCCGGACCTCACTTATGGGTTGTTCAATGTGCTCAATGTCATCCTAACTTTTGATTGTTCAACTACCCCCACCATTTTGTCCATGACGCATCTGTTGACGTGACTCAGGTCGTGCAGAAGTTGGAGTGCCACTGGCACAAGCTTCACCAGGCCACCCTCACAAGGCGGCCATGGGCCAAAGCAATCTTAAGTCCCGACCCTACTAGTCAGAGGACCCCCTAAAAGACTAATCCTGCGGATGAATTCCAAAGTTTGCACTAGAACTGGCGTTCAAAGAAATGGCCGGCCAACTGTTGTGCCAGATGGTGGTTCTCCTTGTATTCATGATCCAGTACGGATTTGGGGATTGGGATTATGGACCCCATTTTGAGCAACCCAGTTTTTATTTGGCCCACCCGCGTGTGCGCGCTCGTGTGTGGTTCTATTGTTTTTTTTAGACGGAGGAGCGCCTTCCTGTGGTACTTTGCCAAGATGAATCGCGACAAAAGGCTGAGGGGTACTCTGCCAACTAGCCTGCAACCCAAGAAGTGCGTTGCCCGATAAAGGGGTGCTCCAGAAGTGATGGTTTTATGGGTTGAGCTAGATATGGCCAAATCACCCCTGTAATCGACTTGGTGGCCTTTCCACACTCGGGCCCCCCTTTGGTATCTGTTGCAGTATGCATCAGAATCAGAAGCTTGCCAAACCTGGCAGTCGTGTGGTTTCGTGGTTTGGTGGCTGGGTATACAATATCCTTGGACGGGGCTGCAGCTGATTTCTGGTTATGTTCTTTCCGAAGTTGCCTTTTTCAATGGGTCAAACTCTGGTTTTGACACGCTCCTTTTCGATATTGAGAGAATGATCCTTCTCGTTGGTTCCAGGAGGCACAGTGAATCGAACCCTTCAGGTTTCCTTGTTCTCGCCTTCCGAGTCGCTTTTTTAACACTAACCATCGAGGTACCACCCCACCCCCAAAAAAGGGACAGCTTGCGGCTTGCTTCCTCGCCTTTCAACACCAAAACCGCCCCCCAAATTCGTGGCTTCCTGGTGCTTTTTGGAAAGCCAACCGGGGTACGCCAGTGCCCCGCAGGGCAGATGACACGGCCAGCACCGTGAGCTCGGAGCTGTCCTTCGCTTTTGGAAGGCGCTCGGTGTTGGAGACGTGGAGAAATCGCCGTCCGTATATATTTATATTTTATGTATGCATATATCTTAATTTCTGCTTTGCAGGCTGTTGACGAGTTGCAGGTTGCAGGCATGAACGTAACGGCCGTCTCAACTCTCAAGATTCTTTGGGGAATGGATTCCAGCCATGGTTTGATTGCATTAGCTGGGCTTTTCGCCGGGTGGTGGGCAACTCGAGGTTCACCTGACAGGATAGAGCCCGGGATCTGCCAGTGCCACTGTCAGTGCCCCATCAGCGAAGACGGGCGAGGTGACGGATCTTGGAGCTGGATTGGGTTTGTGAGTATTGGGATTGAACCTGGTTCTGGTTTTGAGGATTACCATCCGCACCACTGAGGGAGGCGGGCAGGAACTGACGTTGTCTCTCAAAGGTAAGCCTGGGAAGGGAGTTTACGGGGCGCAAAAGGGACTGCAACTGCTGGATCGCTGAGATCGTTTAAATCATGGCGCTCCAAATTGGGGACCTGGCTTACGTGCTGTATCATGGTGACCCGGGTGTTTATCATACAAGGGTGCTGCTGGGGGATTTGGGAAACGATGAGTGGATGATCGTCACACCGGATCGAGATATCTACAGTGAGATTTTCCATGCTCGGAACGGCGACATATCCCAATTCTGGCATTCACCGGATGGTAGGGGGGTGCCGGGAGCCCAGGTACTCCAATGGGGGCCCGTGAGTATTCCCAATTTCTTCAAAATGGGAGACGGGAGACAAATGCGGAACTTCTGCGGAGGGGAGGTGCAGCAGCGCCAGCGGCAGCCGGACATGATGCGGGTGATCGCTGACTTTGGTAGTCCCACAGATGGAATGGGAAGGATCGCGTTGTTTTAGCAGCTCATGTTAGCCGGGACTCCGTGGCTGTTTTCTTGCGAGGAGCGGATCAGGCTATGCCGACTCGCGGAGGCCAATGCTGGCGATGACAGGGTCTCTGCTGAAGACGTGAGGACCATGTCCATCCATTACCTAGCAAATGGTGAGCGCGGCAGAAATTTCAATGAGACCGTGAAGGAGCTGCGCCAAGTGGAGTTTGATGATTTTCCTTTTCAACCACGGACGTGCCAAGAGTACCTTAGGGCGGCGTGTGAGATAGCGGAGAGCTGCTATGGGCAGCATCTGGCCTGGGGCAGTCACGGATTCCGGAAGGCGATCGAGCCATCTACGAGGACGAGGTGCTCAGCCAGGTCCTTGACCTGAAGAAGCAACTCTTAGCAGAAGCTCATGTGGGTGACCATGGGTGACCCTTCAGCCCCCTCATATGCGGCGAGCGATTACTTCATGGGGTGCCGATATCGTCCAGGAGGTGGAATCGTGGTACCGGCGCTGACGGAACATGTATCCCGACGGATGCATGAGGAAAGCCAGATCATGAAGGAGAAGCGTAAGCTGATCGAAGCCAACTAAGACCAGCCGCAGGAGTTACAGACAAGATATAGAGGTTACACAAATTTAACGGAACTTGCATCTACTTATAACTAACTTCGCAACAGATACAAACAGTTATCCGCAGGTAGTAAGTTCGCAAAAAAAGATACACAAAGTTAGAAAAACTTAGAAAAAGTTATAAAAACTTACAAAAAGTTACAAAAAGTTACAAAAAGTTATCGGAGAGCAAAAATCACACGTTGTGGTCAGCACATAATTGCAGAAAACAAGCAGCGCCTAGATACGAAAGCGGTCGAAAAAAGAGTAAAATCTTTCAAGGATCCGCCAATGAACGCTGTCAAAACTCTCTAGCCGCTCAAGACTCTCCACGCTGTCGAAACTCTCCGAAACTCTCCAGCCGCACATTTTTTTCAAGACAGCCATCGTCGAGTCCGTCAAACCAACACGAGCAAGTTGCCATCCACCTCTCTCCAATAGGCAGGGCAAAGCCATTTACAGGAGTTCAGCTGACGCCACGCCTTACAGCTTGTGGGCTCGAAAGAAAGCACGCCTGGCATCTCTTGAACCACGCGTCGAAAAACCGCACCTAGACATTCAATCACTTCGGCCAACCAAATGTTTGCAGTAAACAAGCCACTTGAGAGTTTTGAGGGTTCGAGAGTTTAGTTGATGACGAGAGTTTATTGGCCCTAGACTCAGAAACATATTCTATTCAGCTTTTTGTTTCTGAATTTATTCAGAATTTTTCTGAACTCAGTAAATGGAAGCAAGTACTGGGCAAGCCTCAAATTCAGAATTTTTCTGAATTTATTCAGAATTTTTCTGAACTCAGTAAATGGAAACAAGTACTGGGCAAGCCTCAAATTCAGAATTTTTCTGAATTTATTCAGAATTTTTCTGAACTCAGTAAATGGAAACAAGTACTGGGCAAGCCTCAAATTCAGATTTTTTCTGAATTTATTCAGAATTTTTCTGAACTCAGTAAATGGAAGCAAGTACTGGGCAAGCCTCAAATTCAGAATTTTTCTGAATTTATTCAGAATTTTTCTGAACTCAGTAAATGGAAACAAGTACTGGGCAAGCCTCAAATTCAGAATTTTTCTGAATTTATTCAGAATTTTTCTGAACTCAGTAAATGGAAACAAGTACTGGGCAAGCCTCAAATTCAGATTTTTTCTGAATTTATTCAGAATTTTCTGAATTTATTCAGAATTTTTCTGAACTCAGTAAATGGAAACAAGTACTAGGCAAGCCTCAAATTCAGAATTTTTCTGAATTTATTCAGAATTTTCTGAATTTATTCAGAATTTTTCTGAACTCAGTAAATGGAAACAAGTACTAGGCAAGCCTCAAATTCAGAATTTTTCTGAATTTATTCAGATTTTTTCTGAACTCAGTAAATGGAAACAAGTACTAGGCAAGCCTCAAATTCAGAATTTTTCTGAATTTATTCAGAATTTTCTGAATTTATTAGTACTGTAGACAAGCCAGTATTTCATAACCAATGGATTCCCCTCAAACCCTTCTGACCAAAACTCTCTATCTCTCAAATCTCAATCCCTGTAGCTCTCAAATGAGTTGTGCACGTCAAGCTCTCACCACTCTCGATGTCATGCAAATGTTTCTGCTGGAGTTTGGTGTGTTTGAGAGTTTCTGAATTTGAATCTTGAACAACTTCCTTGCTTGCAGATTCACTGACGCTCGAGTCACACACCATGCAAATGTTTCTTGAGAGTTTGGAGAGTTTAAGAGTTTATGAACTTGACTGACCAGCTTCTTGACTTGCAGATTCATCGACGATGCGCGCGGCTCAGATCTAATTTTTGCTCGTAGGGTATCCCGTCCTGGCAAGGCTATGGATCGTACAATTCCGTTGTCTGATGGGACGGTGGATGGGTATAGCCCTCAGTGGCAGAGGCTGATATGGATCAAGATCATCGAGATGGAGAATGCCCTTCGAACAGCTGATAGCAAAATCAAGAAGTTGGAGAAAAAGGTGAAGGTGTTGGTCTACAAGCTGAAAAAGAAGAAATTGCGTTTGAGAGGTGCTAGGCTTGCGCTAGTATGAGCCAGCTTCGATCCAAAAATACTTCATGTGCTTACTTGAGAGTTTCGTTGCTGATTTGAGAGTTTAGTTGCTGACTTGAGAGTTTATAGAGAGTTTGTGAACCTCTCAAGTTTTGTGGCATTGACTGACTCTCAAACCAGCCCTCAAACAAACTCTCAATCAAACTCTCAAACTCTCAAGGCTCTTATCCCACTCTCAACCCTGAAAACTTTCATAAGCTCTCACGACGTTCCAGGTTCTTATCAAACTCTCAAACCCTGAAAACTCTCATAAACTCTCAAACCTTCAGACCACTCTTAAACTCTCAAGACTTTCCAGGTTCTCATGCATCAACTCTTAAACCATGAAAACTCTCATGAGCTCTCAAACCCTCAAAACTCTCCAAGCAAAACCCGCGTGATGAGACAAAGGATCCTTTCATTTGAGCCGCTTTTTTGCACTCTCGCCAAGCAACGACGTAAGCCCGCTATAGCACCATGATGGCTCAAACTCTCAACAACTCTCTCACAAAATCGCAGCCGAGGCCAACGCTGGCTGCACCCATTTTGCGCAAAACTCTCATCAGGTTGCTACGAAAACATTGCGACATGCAAAGCACAGTATACGTGGCGATCAACGAAAACCGACCTGAAAAAAACACGAAAAAGTTATAAAAAGTTAGCAAAACTTATCAAGAGTTACACACACTTAACTTGACTTAAAAATCCACTATCGAGACTTATATCTAGATGTGAAAACTTAATAAAAACTTACCATAACTTAAAAACAAATAGCAAGTCCAATAAACGATTATATGTCCCCGCAAGTGTTGGAAATGACTATGCCCGAGTTGACCTAGTTGCCGAGCACTTGCCGAGCGCTTGCCGCCCGGTTGCCGCCTACTTGCTAACTGCTATAACTTGTCGGCAATCGCCGCGGCTGGTCTTAGAAAGGAGGAGGAAAGGGTAAAGGGAACAAAAATGTGACTTTTGCCTTTTGCAAGCCCCCCAGCAAAGAAGGGGGGGTGGGTGGCAAGAAGTGAGTCGCACGGCTGGCAAGGAGCAGGGGACTTGCCGGTTTGTTTTCGTACCCCTGCGGTTTTTGCGAGGTTTTTCTGGCACATGGAGGAGGGGCGGAACAGAGACATTTTACCTCTGCCTTTGCTTCAGGTTGAGCCGGTGCCTCAACGTGGTTCATTGTTGAGGAGTACTCACCGCAGGATTCTTTGAAGAATGCATTTGCAGGAGGGGGTGAACTTGGCCGTCACTTAATTGAATTCACTTTTTTCTGGGCGTGACGAGGACGGGGCAGTACAATTTGTGTCGTCCTTGGATGAGCTCAACCTTGTTCAGCGGGATGCCATGTTCCACATCATCCGTCGAGTGAGATCTTTTGGCGGCCGACCTCTGAATGCAAGCCGTGCAGGAGCCCCTCAGGCGCTCCGCATCGCCTGCAACCCTTATGGGGGCGACAGTACAGGTCGTAGAAGGCGTGGATATTTCCGGGCTTTTGGATGGGCGAGCCGGG